GCTGTAGAATCCCATGACACCTAATACTCCTAGAACTTCTGTTTTTGATTCAGGGGATTTCAATTTTTTTATGTCATCAATTCGTGAAGCGATTGGGGAAAGACCGTCTTTAGAGACAACGTGGCCTAGAAATTTAACTTTTCTTAGGAAGAAAAAGGTTTTGTCAGGGGCAGCTTTTAAGTTGGCCTTCCGCAAAAGAGAATGATATTCTCGAATTGTGCCAAACATTTCATTTTTATTTTGACTCTGTAACAGAGTGTCGTCTATGTAAGTAATTGCTTTTTTTTCTTTAATGAGGGGTCCGAAGGCATATCTCATTAGTTTACTGAAGAAATTTGGAAGTGGTTTCAAACCATAGAAACCAACTTGGTAGGTATATTGTCTACCTCCAACAATAAAGCTTGTTAATTTCTGGGCCTCATCTGTTAGAGGTACTTGATGGTAGGCGCAAGAGAGATCACTACTTGTGAAGTATGATCCGTTTATTCGGGTCATGAGAACTTGTAGTGGTTCTAATGGCCAACTACAATTGCTAGTATCTGTGATTGAGTTTAGATACCTAGCATCCAAGACCAACTTAACGTAGTCTTTTTTTGGAAGAATGATGACTGGATTTACGAACCATGAGTTCATATCATCTTTTTCATTTAGTTCTCTGACTATGCCTGCTTGGATTAATTCATCCATAAACTTGTCCAATTTATCTCTTAGATGGACTGGGATTTTACTCGGTCGTTGTTTTTTGAACGTTGCGTCCTTTTTGAGTGGTATATGGAATTTATGTTTTGTTTTTCCAATATCATATTTGTGATGAGAATAAACATCTTGATCCTCTATCAGCATTTGAATTAGATCTGCAAATTCATCATCCGATATATCACTTTGTGTGAAATCGAAGTCAGATAAAAACTTAATAGTAGTTTCGATTTTTTCCAAAGTACTACTATTGTCCTTATCAATTAAGGAGTATTGGGTAAACGTTTCGTTGACTAGAAAGGCAATTAGCCGATCATTATGTTCTTTGTTTCGGTATTTTTTAAATTGTTCTTTCAAGGGAGGCCTGCAAAGGTTTTTTGCATCATAAGAAAAGTCGGTTGCTATTTCGTTTTCATTTTTGCATACTTTGACTATATCTGAACCAATTTGTTCAAATATTTCTGATACATTCTCTGTATCGAACACTTCAAGGGCAGGCATGTCCTTGATTTCTTGTCTTGAAACATAGACAAATATAGTAATTCCAGAATGTTGGAATACATCGACAATGATTTTGGAAACTTCTTCCCAATTCATTTTATCTAAGCCACAAGCAATTTTGGGCATTGCGATAGATCGAATGTTATTTGCTAAAGCATGATCTTTCATTTCGGACAAGGTATTGAATATAGCGTCGTAAGTGGGTTTCTGAAAGTACCTCTGTTTGGTAATCAGGTTATATATGATTTGTCCAGATTTTGGATCAGTGAAGATGAGAATATCGTTAATGTTAGCATGTGTTGAGTTACAAAAGTGTCGTAGCTCAGGATACCTTTTGCTAATTGATTCAGCAAATCCTGTTTTCATTGCTCTATCTGCAGAGATTGTATGGGCAATGGGCATATTCGATTCGAATATGGACCTTTTTTTGAAGTCTACATATTGTAGACAGGGGCCGGATAATTGAAAATTGCTTTCCTGTGTTGTATTGACAACAGTGTTCAGCATGAAACAGCTATCGAATTCTGAACTTTCATTTAAAAGTCTCGTTGTGAACTCATCACAATCGTGGATAGCAAAAATTTTATCCTCGTATCCTTGAATATCAGTTACTGCATAGCCTAGTATACACTTAGTGTGACAGGATGATCTTTCTGATTCTCAATTAGGATAGGTAGGCTTTGCTCAATTTGAGTACAAACCGTATTAATGAAAACCATTTCGGTTTTAGTTGTATTTTTATGAGGCAGGAATGTAGTCCCTTTTTCGAAGTATGAATTGGGTTCAGCCAAGTGTTTGTATAAGTATGTAGAGCGTGCTGGAATGAACAAGGGTTCTTTCAAGTTAATTGAGACAATTTTTGAAACGTTAGGATATTCTTTATCGTTGTTCATCAACCCGTAGGATTTTACACCTTCTTTTGATTTGAGCTCAACTGCGGGGATATAAAAGTAGAGAGCTTTTAAGAAGAGATGACAAAAGTCTACTCCTAACAGATTAGCAGTCTTTTCTTCAGTTATCCACACTTTGTGGTTAGATGGATATTTTCCATCAGTGTCGAAACAAGATTGGATAGATGCATGGCCAAACATACGTATATCAGATCCATTATAAGTCTTTGCTTTAATTTTGGATCGGTAAATTGTCATTTTTTGACCTAATTTTTCCAATTCTTGATAAGTTGGGTAGTTTATGATACTGCAAGTTGATCCTGGATCAATCATGAATTCAATTTCAAGTCCACTATTATTATTTTTGTCTCCGGTGGCAAAATGATATAAGCTAAGATATATCCTTGATTTGGGATTACTATCATCGCTTGGTTTCGGAGACTTTAATAGTTTAAAGGAAAGAAATCAGTGATAGCATCACAGTAATTGACTTCTTCCTCAACCCAGTGGGTAGTTTCAGACTGTATTTGATTCGATCTAAAATTTGGTGATTGAGATCGCGTTGAGTCTCGACTGTTATTGCTATTATAGCTTCCAGTGTTATATGGTCGATCTCTAGGGTTACTATTAAATTGCCTATTTTCTTGGTCGTAGAACTGTTTAGCAACTTGTTCATTTTCTCTGAATTTGTTTTCTCTGGGATACCTATCATCATAGGTTTGGGGTCTTTTGTTATTGAAAGACGATTTTGCATTAGCCTTTTGGAAATTGTTTCCGTTATAGTTATAATTATGGCGAATGCCATAGTTATTTTGGCTAGGATTTGAATTGTTAGTAGATCTGTTTTGGTTATCCCAAAACCGGTTGCTTGGGTTAGGGTTACTCTGGTTAGGGAAGTTATTTGGTCTTCGATTTCGTTTATAATCAGTTTCAAATGAAACTCTTCGTTCATTTTTTGTTGTGAGCTCTTTCCTCAACTTATTTACTTCGTCCTGAACTTGCTTTTTTGAACATCTAGATATAGAATGTCCGTTCATTCTGCAATATTCGCAGAATCGTGTACTATTAGGTCTTCCCTTGATGTCAGGGTGACGTCGTTGAAATGAATTCTGATCATTGATTGCACTAACTTCTTGATTCTTGATCAATTTAGTTAGTTCTTTATTTTGAGTTTCTAATGAAATCATTTTATCCGTTGTTGACTTATTAGCAGGATCAGTTGCAACAATGAATGTTTGATCCTTAGTGATTACATGATTTGTGAATTGATCCCAATTGGCATTTGGATGCTCTATCATGTATTCATGAGCTTTTTGTTTAAGGGCTAGAGGTCTTAGTCCCTTAATTGAGAAATCGATGTACTTTTGACTTCTTTGTCTGGTTTGTATAGTTCTCTCAGCATTTTGAGCAGCTTCAGTAGCATGAACGGTTTCATCAATACTTTCGGGCCATCCTCTATCTACAGAAGATTTAATTCTGTGGAAGTAATTTTTTATTAATTTGCCATCTTGGCGCGCTGCATTTTCAGCATCAATTCTATGTTTGAATTGATCTCGTCCGTCAGTGAATCTGTTTAGGAAGAGATCTTTGAGTTGTGCCCATGTGGTAGCATTGGTCACATTATCATTGAACCATTCAAGAGATGTATCAGTTAACAATGATCCGAATAGGGATCGTTGTCTGCTACCATAGCTGCGTCGTGCATCATTATCAGCAGGTCTTTGACCTAATGAGAAAAGAGTTTTGTTTTCAACTGAATTCCAAAAAGCCGTAGCATTTTGGTTCGGATCGTTTCCCGAAAATGTCATTAAAGACAGGTTGGGATGGGATATTGGGGTATCGGCCATTTTAGTTTAGAACTTAAAAAAGAAAGATAGAAAAGTTTATAAATTTGTTTAGAAAACTTAAATTTCCGATTTGGAAATTTATTATTTCTCTTTATTTGTAAGAGAAATTTCAACAATTCTCCAGTTTGAGAATTGGAATCTTTGCTTTTTTATCTCTTTTTGCGAATTTTTAGAAGGTGTGCCTCACTGGTCGCACCAATTTATTACGCTAGCAACACTATGTGCGCCGGACAAAACGCTTGCTAGGAATAAAGGGTCCTTTCTACTTTCTATTTTAGAAAGTAAATCTAAAATTCGCTGAGAAATATTTTATTAAAAAAAGAAGTTAGTATGAATTTACAGCAAGTTGCCTTTTGACTCAATATTTATTTTTTACGGTGAGATTGGAGATATTTTTCTCTGAGATTGAATATTATTTTAGAGAAGGGTTGGGGTGGTTGAGGAGAGTGGTGGTGGTGGTAGAAGAGAAGTTGTTGGAATGAATTCCCGTAGTTTTGAGCTTCTATTTATACTCAGATGGGGAAATCACGCCACTTTTCGTATCAAATGAGAAGTTTCTTTTAACTTCGTATTCTTTATTCGTACATTCGTATTTTACGAGAAGAAGGTTTCGTATGCTCGTACTTTACGAGAGGAATCGTTATTATTCGTATTGAATGAGAATAGTCGTTTCAATTCTCAATGCTTAAAACGTTATACGAATTATTCCAATAGCATTTCCCTTCCTTTTGCAAGGGAATAAAAACATATTTCTTTGGTGGTGGCGGCGGCGTCACATTTTGTGAACGCAATAAAATAATTCATGTTTCTGTTTCTATTTGAAATCAGAACAGAAGGAAGAAAGGGCTTTCCTATTTCATAAAAAATTACTATACGCTGTCATATATATTCAGCGCCATTGGTCATTTATCAGTGGTAGATACTCCTGGTTCCTTCAATCAATCCTTTTTCAAACCTTCGTAAGCTGATGATCTTGTGATTAAATGTTTTGTTCTTGACTCAAACTTAACCTCTATACGAAATAACATCGAAACTTGATGTTCGTCAGATATTTCTGCTTACAAACCTACTGTAGCTGGTACATTTTTGACGTATCCGAGTAGTTCGAACTTCAGACCACTGACGTCATTCCTCAGAGCTGTCAGGTTGTCGGTAGTTATCTCCTCCCCCTTCTCGGTTTTGATTTGGTTCCGCAGATGTTGCTCTTTCATCGCCTTCAGAATCGAACCAAGTCGTTCTTGAGCTGTGCAGGAGAAAGCAAAACTTACGTTAATTTCTATTCAAATCAAAATAGTAATATAAAGAATACAAAAAGGTAAATTTTGGCTCAAATTTTTGTATATGAATTGCTTAAAAACAATTGTTGTATTTTTGAAATCGTTTTTTGTAGATACGACTTTAAGTTTAAATCGAATGTCGATTGTACCAATATGAAAATTCCAAATCGTTATAAAAAGCTTTGAGTGATTAAAAATTCTAGAACAGTATGCTTATATAAAAATCTGCGAAATATTCTGGTGCAATTGAGAGAGGCCGAAGTAAATGTGACTTCCTAGGTCAAAATCTTCCAGAAAGTGCCCAGATAGGTGAAAAAACTCAAAGTGCTTGTTGTTGACAATTTAGCCTTAGATCAACGTACCAATTTGTTTGCGAAGGACCCTTGACCTAAGATAAGGATCAGCTGCATGTGTTAGCCACCCAGTCCTCGCAGTCTTAGAATCTATCTTGTCCAACAGCCACAAAGTGTTTCTGACAGAAGGTATTACATTGAATGGAGGTGGTAGTCTCGTGTCGGCTGAGATGAAGTCGGCGTAGATGGCCGATCGAGAAAATTTCCATTCGGTGTCTTTTATTGTCGGATGGCTCTTTTTGTTATCAAACTTTTACAGTTATTTATTATCATTTGAAGTTTGCAGTCAAATGTAAATTATTAAAAGTGTTGCTGGTCCTTTTTTCATTTTTTGAAATTCTTATAAAACACATCTAATAATCCGTCAAAAGAGAGCCGTACGCATGATTTTAATCTCAACATTTAGCTTCAAAATGTTACTGAAAGTTACTGAGCCGCGAGCGATGGGAGGGGGATGGAGGAGGAAGGGTGTAACGGGGGGGGGGGGGCGTTTTGTTAAAAAGAGCCATGATAGCATGCCTATGTTCTGTTCGATGTTGTCGAGTGTCTTGGTGATCATGCCGACTAAGACATTCAGAAGCACTACCACAACCAAGAAGTTGAACAACACGAACAGAATGGAACCCACTGAAATGAAGATACCTTTTTGCCAGTTTAACATGACCACTTTGATGAATTAGTTTTTTTATTCAAAGATGGCCGGTCTTTTATCTTAAGCGTATTCCCTATTATCACAAGGAGAATGCCTTACGTTTCCTGGTTATTTTACTCGGTAGAAAAACTGGTCGAGAAGCTTATACTTGAATAAATACTAACTTCAATTCTACAAAGTATTCAATAGTTTGAGTCATTTTTTTGAATATTTTTTCGCACCTTATTAGATTCTGATTATTTTTGTTTGACATAATAGACAGTAGTTTCATACATTATGACAGATACCAAACAGACCTAGTGTATGTATGGTCCAATGAGGGTAGACTTTAGATGCAAACACGAGACTGGAGTAACCAAATATGGTCCAGTACAGCTGGTACAGACATCCCCCCACAGTCGTGAACTGGAATTCCCCCCTCTCGAACTTCCTCCTCACTGCAGGGGGACATGCCTCAGAGTCATCGGGTGGGGCCTGAAGAATTAAAATTAACGAAAACTAAATCAAAGTGGGGATCTTGTCAACTATTCCCCCCGATGGTACCTTGTAACGATATAAAGAAAGCATTGAACAGTTAGCGTATACGAATTTTGTACCTTGTTAACTATCCCCCCCCCTATTGCAATAAGGGGGATGGTAGTTAACAAGATCCCAAAGTGGTTTTAACTACGTTTTTAGTTCATCCTTAACATTAGATGGGATTTTGAAGAGATTAAAACCCCGGGCCGCGACTCAGAAGGGATTGCGCGAGCGAAACTTTGCTGCCGCATAGAGATTTTTTTTGAGTCGCGCAAGGTCGCGAAAGTTGCAGAAAGTATATAGACCGGCAACGGGGAAACATAACCTATTTCAATCTATCCTTCGCCAATCTTACTGTTTGCACCAGCTCACAAACTGAAGCTGAAAAAACTTTAAAAACCCCTTTGTTAATTTCAAACAAATCATGGTCAAAATTATTTACCATTTCTACATTTCTATCATTTAGTTCGTTCTTTTGCTCATTTGACTCATATGTCGAAAATCAGTATGTACTTATTTGATTGATATGTGACCAAATTGCTTGCCTTTGTTTTATATCTCTAAAAGGAACACATTTCCGGCGCGAAAAAACTTCATGGCCCCAAAATTCACCCGTAATCGATGCTACATACTACGCTACACTCTTTAAAAGGCAATAAAATATTTATTCTTTTCAATTTTGGCCCAATTTTGGGGTGTAAAAATGATCTAAAATTGTAACAATAGTTATCTATTTCGTTACTTAAAACATTGCTAATATTACCCAGGCCCGGCTTGGTTTGTGAAAATCAGAAACTAAATTAAGTACTCAGCAATGGCGGCTCCTTTTCATGAGTTCAGATCAAGATTAGATCACTTGTTAGATACAATACTTGAAAACTTTTTCATATTTGGAAAAAAATTGCTATAAATTAGAGCGGATCAAGGCCGGCGTAACGCTTCTTCTATTGCTGAGAAATAGCAGCTGTTAAACTTACCACTTTTATTATTTAACTGTAAGCTATTTAACCAACATGTGTAGCCTTTTTGATCTTCATGTATAAAAACCACTGCTTTAATTAAATAGTTGTTATGAAAAAGATGGATTATCTGATCCACTTTTTTCCAGTATTTTCAAGCCTAATGGATATTAGCAAACTATAAATATACTACGTTTTTCGCAAAGCTTAACAAAAACGAGGCTCTAAAACAACCGAGGGTTGACTATTTGTACCTTTTTTTTAGGTCGAGATACGAATTATTACCCAAATTCCCCTCGAATACGTCGCATTTAGATAAGTCACAAAAATTATTGCAGATTAGAAACGGTCACTTTACTACGAATTGTGGCCGAACTGGAACTGCTACGGTTTATAGAGCGGACATTCAACAAAAAGCCATATTTTGAAGCTGAAGTTACAAGAATAACGTAAATTACATAAGGATTACGTAGCAATTGCAACAACAGACAATCTGTTGCTATGTTGCATAACAAAAAAAACTCGATTTGTTGGAATAGTAATCTTATTTTCGGCTTGTTGGCCCTCCGGCTTGTCGGCCTACCACCCATTTATGTATGCTATGAAGGAGTGTCAATCAACACGCGTACCCTCTGACACAAGGTGTGCGCAGTGAGTTGGTCTTTCCAGTAGAGACTGTTGGTGGCAGTGGCGAAGGAGAAGTACATGACCAGGAAGAGGCCCATGAATTTACTGATCTGGGCCATGCTACACGCCACACTCATCTGTAGTTTTCCCAGCAGTCTACTAGCACTAAAATAGTTCAATAAATTAGTTCATAACTTGAACTCTTTGTAGTTTTTCCACTCATTTTTCGAGACGTCTTATAAAATCTTATAAAATCTGTCTCAAAAAAGCTGGACAAAGTTCTTCTCTTTCAAAAAAAAGTCAGTGAAGCAATATCAAATGGTAAAAGATCATACGTCAGAACTCTTTATAACTTTATCCCCCTTTTGCAAAAAGGGGGAGATTCGTTACTAGGCATAAAGTTCTGATATGCTTAGCCGTTGATTTACTTCTTTATAAAGGGATATTCGTTACTAGGTACCCGAGCGGATGATATGATTAAAGAGATCCTTCATGACTACAACAATAGACGGGTTTTGTACCTGGGTTGACTCACATGCACCAAAAATATCGTATGATTCTATACCCTAAAATATTTATCGTGCAATTCCATACATCAAGTATACGGAGAAAACGCTTGTCATACAATTTCCATAAGTTTTTGACAACTGATTGAACAAAAAAGGTGAATTATTTCTTTGGCGATTTGAACTCAACAAAGCAGACTAGTGGTAAAAAAAACTGTGCTTTTGAAAAAAAAATGTATATAAAAAAATTGTATGACAATCATTTTTCACGATTAGAAATAATTTTTCAATAAATTTTTTGAAAATCACTTTCCAGTCGAAATTTGATAGAGGTGGACAGGAATTTGACTTCAGGTAAACCTCCAAATTTAATTCCACAACATTTTTTACGCCAAATTAGCTTTTTATCACCACCCATTTGTGCATTTTTTCACTCAATTCAACTACCCTTTAAAAAAATTGGATGCACAGAGGATGTTTTCCTTCATATTGATAAACTTGTATTACAATTGGTTTGATTATGTTTGCTTGTTTCACAAAATTTTCTAATTCTCGAAAGCTTGCTGGGAAATGTGCATTTGCATCATTTTAAGACTATAGGATAAAACAAATGAACCAGAGGCGATTTTTCATGGAACGCACGAAAATTTTTCAACTTATCAGAATTCATTATTCGAAGTTTCGAAGAAAATCAGCGACAATATCAGTTAGTTCAGGGCAGTTTACATTGCATTGGTTGGTTGAGAGTTCAGAGACGAGACGTCTGAAAACAGGTATAATTTGCCTAACGACGATCTCCCAGACTGGATTCTTCAAGTGATCATAAAAATAACTTAAATTAATCATTGTGAACCTATACTGGAAACAATTTATTATTATATTTTTAATTCTTGCACATTTGGCTTTTCGCGTATGGGACTAGCCCCCGCACCTCGCACCTAGGTACACACTACAGCAAAACTTCTTCTCGGTCAAAAATACTCTTCGGTCGAACTCATTTGAGATGTTTTCAGACGGTCGACATGGACAAAATTTTGGTCCACGGTCGAAACATCGTTAAATTGGGACTAGACGGTCGAAACATATGAGTTCTGGGTCGAGACGATTGAAATGGACTATTTGTTTGTCAAAGCATTGATAGAAACCTCAAGGTAAAATGGCAGCTTGCTTCGAGATTTTTGTAAATTTGTTTATTTAAGTCGAGCCAAATTTGAAATACAAAAAACAACATTTTGGTATTTTGATGTAAATTGTTTTATGTCGAAACAAGACCTCGAGCGCACCGTGATTGGTTGCCTAGCGCCACTTTCTGGAAGATTTTTTGGCGAGTGTGTATGTGTGGTTCTCGTTAACTTCCTCTTCCAGTTGTACAATTAAACGAGCCCTTACCTGAAGTAGTACAATATTCTGTTGACAGCCGCCAGAGTGCCCAGACACACAGCTGCCTCGTACACCAGCAGTTCGTCAAAGTAGTCCCACTCATCACGGCCAAGAACACCTGCTGACAGAAAAAATGCAAAACTGAACTTAAACTTAAGCAAGTATAGCCAGTTACTGTGCAAGTAGCACTGAAAATACCGACCGTAGTCTTAAAAACCATAGACACATTTTTTTTTGAAATTAGTGTTGGTTTTTCTGCGTGGTGTGATAAAAGGTCTGAACAAAAACTAAAACGTAGGCATATTCGACAGTCATAGTAAAATAGGCAAATTGGACAAAATTTGTTGTAGAAAATAACTTGAAACTCAAAAAAAAATCATAAAACAATAAAAAACATCAACTTTTTTTTTGAATTTTTGAAGTTTTTCATTCCCAAAATGGCGTTAAAAAGCTGCAAAAACTAATTTTTTTTCAAAAAAATTAAAATTAAGCACATAATTTATAGTTAGCGGCTTAATAAGCCTGCTCGATCGCTTCTCTCGCTAGAAATTAAACGAAGAATCAAATACTCAAACAGATTTTTCTCGACACTGGGAAATTGTTTTGGAAAAATTTTAATATGGTTAAAGTCAAAACTGAAAAGTTTTTTATGTGATATATAACTCAACCCAGTCCGGTGATTAATTGTTATACCTGATTTTGAAAACCAAAAAACCAAAATAGAAAAAAAAAGTAAAACACACCCGAATACAAATTTCCTTGCCATTTGTCAAATGGTCGGAAGAATGAGAGAAAATTAAAAGCAAAATGAACTCAAAATAATGTGGTTTTTTACTTATGCTCTCTTTTTTTTGTAATATGCCAATTCCACGTATGATGAGAACAAAACAAACATTGTTCGCCGGTATATGAGTTTTTTGTTCGCCGGGGTATAAACATTGTTCGCCGGGGTCGGGTTGCTCCTTTGTCCTCAGGTCTAGAAACTCCGCGGAATCTACCAGCCGAAGCCACAGATCTGTAGGGGTAAGTAGGGAGGTTTTAGTGTCAGTTGAAAAAGTGGCATGTAGTGTGGGGTGCGTGGGAGGATGTTGGGAATAGAGAAGAAATTGATCTGTCTAGTCAAAAAAGCTGAGTGCTTACAAGCAGCTATAGCCCGTCCAGTGATGGAAGAACTTACAGCGGGTATTTCTGGAGTTAAATTATTCTGAGGGGTCATTTTGGGATAGAATTAACCTTAGAGCGAGGGTCTTCGTAGCTTTTCTACAAGAAACTTGATCGCCAAACTAACTTAAATTGATGAACAGCGCCATTTTTAGCATTTAAAAAAAATTGATTAGGCGGATAGTTATTTGTCAAAATATTTTTTTATAGTGTGAAAGAAGAGATCAACAAAATCAATTTATTTGGCCTGAAAAGTCGACTATAACCCTCTCTCTCTCTCTCTCCCTCTCTCTCTCTCTCTCTCTCTCTCTTCTCTCTCTCTCTCTCTCTCTCTCTCTCTCTCTCCTCTCTCTCTCTCTCGCTCGCTCTCTCACTCTCTCTCCCTCTCACTCTCTCTCTCTCTCTCTCTCTCTCTCTCTCTCTCCCTCTCTCTCAAAATCCTGCTATGTCGTTATCTGTTAACATTGAACTCCTTCATTCATGAAAACAATTCAGCTAATTAATGTTTCCTAATGATTCTAAATGGTTGATTTTTTTTTCAATTGAGTATTACAAGGCGTAAGCCATTTATTAGGCGGCATACTCAGAGTGTTGTCAGCATACCCGCAACAAAATTAAACGCAAAGTGTTATTCTTTTATTCCGGCATTTTGTTTTTGATTTTAAATACTTAGGTGCAAGTTTTTTTTATCTTTGCTGCAAGTTCATCTTTCTAGATTTAGAAATTTTGGACGTTTTAGTAAAAAGAAGCAAATGTTTTACGATCAGAAAGTACTAATTCAAGGGCAAGAGCTTTTCTTCTAGACTTCCGCACTTTGCAAACACAAGAGAGAAAAATTTAAAAAGAAGCTTAAAAGGGTCAAAATAAAAAAAGAAAGAAAAAGTTAATTTAATAAAAACTCCCGAAGCTAACAGAAAAACTAACAGAAAGAAACCCCCAAACTGACAATGATTCAGACTCTTTTTCTACCAAAACACGGGCGTTGCAGTTTAACCAGAGAACACGCTGTTTTGATTTAATCCTTAACCTCAGATTTGACAGCGTAGTTTTCAAGAAAACGAAATTAATCCAACAAAAATGGTTCAAAAATCTCCCATTGGAAATTCCGAAGGTCTCATAACGTCTGATAAAGTAGAAGCGGATTAGCAGAATAGCCAAACACACAGATGAGTAACCGGTCTTCCCATTGGTGCAACTTTTTGGAAAAATTGTGAAAGTAGTTCTTGAGAAAAGTAAAATTTTTTGCAAAAAGTTTCATCAGTATTTCCATAAATGAAATAACCAAATACCATACGCTGTCATCCAACAGATATTTTTATTCAAATAAGAACTATACACAAATTACCCCATAGAAAATATCCGGTGGAACAAAAGTTGATCAGTTATAAAAATGCACGAGTGCCACCAAATCAGGAAGAACTTTTTTGCGACTTGGCCGGAAAAAAAGGCCACAACGCTCGTCTGTAAAAAAGATGATGTATCCCTTTGTTTCAAGAAAAAATGAAAAAGTAATCAAGCTGGGATTGTAAATTCTGAGCCCAAGTTTTTTGAACACTTGAATTTAAAAAAAAGTTGGTGAAAAACCCCGATGATTACTTGGCGATATCTCAAAAAACTGACGTTTAAATTGTTTTATTCTTTGTAATTGTAAAATACGTTCAATCTTGTTTTATTCAAAGTAAAGGTAATCACGGAATAATAACAAGCCTTTGTATAAACTGGCCGATCTTTGATGATTTTCCCTCGGGCTCAAACTTAGGACAAAACTCCAAAATCTTTGTTGGCGGTGTGCCATTTTTTAATAGAAGCTGCGTGCGATTGAACAATTATTCTAAAACAAGAAAAAACGCCCTTCAGCTATATAAAATATACATTTTATCTAAACTTAAGTTCAGTGTAGTTTCAACACTCAACAATTTAAACGAGCAAAAACTGACCAAATTAAAACTCCGATACCAAAGGGTGGGTGCTTGTTAAGTAGATCCGACAAAAAATATTGCCTTCTTTTTCCAGAGTTTGGATTTCTTCCCGTTGATTATCTGGTTGGGTTTTAAGGTATTCGCTTTAAATTTGAAATTAAAACCTTTATGATATAGAAAAAAAAACAAAAAAAAAACGTTATCAATTGTTATTTTTGTTTTTGCTTTTTTCTAATGACGAATGTCTGAGATCAAAGAAACGCTTTGAATAATCATAATTATAATTATACTTTCAAGTGACACGACAAAATTCCAATAACAATTTTAATCATGCTTTTTGTTCCGACTTTCGATACGAAAGTAACGGAATATTTGTGCTCGGGGTGGTTTTTTTTTTCTTCAGACAAATTTCGACTATTAAACTAGCCATTTTTGACGGAATTTTTTTATATCATTCAAAAGGTATTGTTGTCCTGAGCTCAAATTTGAAAAGATGTTTCACCTGTGATCATTTTTCGTAAAGTTATGGGGGTTTAAAGATTGCCATTTTGGCCAATTTGGGACAATTAACGCGCTATTAACGCGTAAGCGGAGAGTTAATCCGTCTTAAAATCGTTCAAAATTGGTGAAAAGAAGCTTATTTGCCATAATTGATTGGTTACAAGGAGCTAAATATATCTTTTTGTACTTTAAATGGCGTGTGGGGGGATGATTTTCATAAAAAAGTTCAAATTAAAAAAAAAAAATTTTAAATTTTTTTTACATTTAATTTTTTAATGTTATTACTGCTCCATAAAACCTTAAAAGGCAGTCGGAACATTCAGGGCTTCGCCCTGATACGAGCAGTCTTGTTCACTTTGCTGTCACTTTGAGAGCACTCCAATAGGCAGAGTTGCATGTCGAGTGAAGCCTCATGAGCAAACAAAAATTTATTTGCATGTTTTGGAGGGCTTCAATTCCAGTTTGGGAGTGCGGTCTCTGTTTAGACAACCGCGTATTCACACTCTTCAGTAGGCAGACAAGTACTATATTATCCAACCAGAATCGAGAGGAGAAAGCATATTTACGAAATAAAAAGTTATTAATTATGAATTTTTCCTTGTCTCGATACTGATTGGTTAATAAATCATTTGTCTGCTTACTGGCAAGTATGAACGCGCGGTTGTCTAAATACTGGTATGTAAACCCAGTTTGTATGCTTAGCTCAATGCACAGCAAAAAATTGTCGCCTCAAATTCATTCCTTGTAACTGAATCTAGGTAATTGGTCCAAATAGTTCCTTAATGCAATTTGTATCAATTGGTAGTTCAAAGAAAACATGTTAACACAGTTCAAAAAAATCTTAAAGCAGAGATGTTTAGAATTTCGAATTAAAGTTCTTCGTTTTCATTTAAATAAATCTTGAATTAGCTCCAGCGTTGCGTAGTAACACATCTACAGCTTTGCTTCAATATGATCTGAGTGATTTTTAGCGTTTCTGAAATTAGCGTTTTTTTAGCGTTTCATATGATTTGACTTGTTAAGCGTTTGATTTGATTTAAAAAGATATCAATTGCGATGACATGGATTCGATAAATGAAAATGTTCAGAACAAACCTGCAGATTTCAAGGCTCGCAAAACTCTGACTGCTTGCAAAAATGCAAAACAGACTCAACTTGTAAATGCAAATTTGCATCTTGGGTTTCGCAAACAAAGTGAAGCGAATTATGGTAAATTGGAAAACATAGAAAAAGTGACAAAAAAGTAATTTTTTTTGTGACAAAAAATAGAAAGAATAACAAAACAAATCTTATATTGAGAGATTCTATCAAAAAAGACAAACTTGATGAGTTTTCCTGATGATTTGGGTTTTTTCTGTAATTTGCTCTTAAAGAACTTCTGTCTTTCCAATTTTTCTGCTGAAAAAGAGTATGCAATCTTCTAAGCTTTTGCATGAATCTAAAAAGCTCCAACTGATGCTACCTGTACGAAAATAAAAAATCGGGTTAGTTTAGAAACATCTCATGAACAGTATCAACATTTCGACTTGGTGAGGAGATATATTGTTCAGCAGAAGCCGCTTGACCAGTTTTTGGTGCGCGCTCATTTCAATTTAGTGTATATTGCCGCCGAGATATATTGGCACCTTAAGAAAACTTTTAAGTCAGCCCTCCGCCTCACCTTCCCCCATAAAATCCGCTACTGCTCCCGCCCATTACCATAACAATTTTGTAGTGGCTACTTTAAACAAAAGCAAAAAATATTATAATTGTAACTACAAATCGGCGAAAGTGGAAAAAATACTTCTGCAAAAAACGAATTATATGTGGACAATTCTTTGGAAGTAAATTGTGCACATAGTATCACTCTACAAAATAAAACAAACCAGACGGTTGGAAAGATTGATAAAATAATACACATCTAACGGTCGCTCTTTGTGATTAATCTGAACTCCGTCATAGACTCAATTAGAGCTTTTAAACCATATCAATCGCAGAATTTTGCTGTAAGAGTTGTATTTCCCTAGATTTGTCAAATTTTATATTAAGTCACTTCATTTTATCTGATAAATGTTTGTTAAATTTCCTAAACCTCAACACAAAGAAGCTGATTTTTAAAACAAAAACGCCCGACCAAAATGAATCCACGTCCTTCTTTTATTTCAGATTTATAAAAAAAACTCAATTTCATCCAAAAAAAGTCATTTCACTGAAAATTTTCAATGTTAAAAATACATCAAGTTATCTGGAAATTTAGATCTACGAAAAAAACTTCAATTGGATGCACTCCTTTCATTAACATATTAGTTGACCCTTCCTCATTTATGGAAAAACATGGTCCCACAATCAATTATTTCAGATGAAGGGAAGTCGATCTTTTCAAACTCAAGAGTGCACAAATGGGCGGAGCAAAACACGATCGATGACGAAAATCAGTTGAGATAGCGGCAGATCAAAAAAGCTGCGAAAGCGGTCCATCAGACAAGGCGGCTAATGTAAAACTAAGGGCAACACATTACTTCTAAACCAACTTACACAATGAGATAACTGGTCTACGAAAAAGTTACTCACAAAAAGGACAACCATGTTTTCAGCCCTTAAACGTAAACATTTGAGTTTTTGTGAAAAACTGTCACACTGAAAAAAGGTCACGTACTAAGGAAATCAGATTAAGCCTGCAGAAACAAACGCATTCAACCTACGACAAAATGTTGCATTAAATTTGAACCATTTGTTAAACTTTCTTATTTAGCAGGCAGAGGAAGCAAAACTCCAATAAAAGGCCAGGTTTCAGGACACGCCGAACCATTGTCTGGAAGAATAACTAGTGCACATGCCCCAAAGAGAGTTAGAACACCCGCACGAAGTCCGACAATTCACAAAGTTACACGAGACACCCGATTGAAATATCTTCCCGTAGACCTCAAGGAACAGCTCAAATAACAGATATAGAATGTGGGGCCACCAAACTTCTTCAGAGAAACACGTTTTGTAAACCAAGTAGCAAGCACAAAAAACGGCCAAGATCTTGGACGACGTGCTCGGACGGTTTTTCAGTCTAGATATGCCCTGTTAGCACAAAACCTCAGTGGCATATTCAGGAACTACATTCAACGGCTTTGCCAATTGACTAGCTGTTACCACTCGCGTGAACGAAAATCACGCAGAATATTATAGCAAAGATAACAGAAACGTTCATTTTTTCCAGATCTTCAGTTATCCCAGTTATGGTTGTCTTCGGGGGAAAATTGAGGGAAAGTCTCCAATGACACCAATGGTCGATCGGAAAGCTACCGAACCTGACCAATAGAGCGACATGTCGTCAATTCTAGACTCCAAAGCAAAAGTTGAGGCTGATACTCAAAAATTTTTAACAAGGCATAGTCAAGCCTTTCTAAAACTTCTGAAACTCTAGTAACAAATTTCATGCTAAAAATTTTTCATTCAATCTCAGAATCATTGGAACTTTAGATCTTAGCTTTTTTTGTCATTATAAAAGACGTCATCAATTCTCTAGCTTCTATTTTTAAAAAATTAATTTCAATCTTTTTAATGTAGTAAATTTAAATGCATAACGCAATTTCTAGATAACTTTCAAATTTGTAAGAAGCCTATATAGAGGTGAAAATGACCTCAATTTGTAGTAAAAATGCACCTTCTCTCATTTTCTCCAATGGATGGTGCTTTTAGTCATTTTGATAATTTTTCTTTCAATTCTTTCCCAACCATGAGATGGGGTGCTCGGAACATATACAATTATAGGAACAATTACAATTTGGGTAAAAGTAAAGGACAAACAAAAATAATAAGTGCAACTTTTTATTGATTAAAAGAAAAAAACAAGAATTTTTGAAACATAGATAGCCAGGTGCTCATACCATCAGCAGGGATTGACCTAGTCAAAAATTTACAACTGTTAGGTAGACCAAGCTGGTTATCCCGTATTCACTTAAACACGGTACCATTTCTTGGCGCTGCAATTATACATGCATTCAATAACAAAACCATGCAAAAAACCTGTGGAAAAAAGATGACATACCTGAGTTGCTGGGAATTGGCCTGGGATGTACAGCATCCCTGACCCTGGCTACGGCAGCTACAAAGAATATGGACGCTATGGTCAAGTCCCACACATTCCACATGTCCATCAAGTACACACGAGCACCTGAAGAAAATGTGCCATTATCTTGTTATGAACTGTGGTACCGTGTAGTACTGCTACCACAGTAACCTTGGAGAATAGTGCTATTAATTATTCTGTTACGTATTGTTATTATTATTCAAGGCCATTCATGCAGGCCAAACGCAATAGTCATTTCGGACGTTGCTGATCTAAGAGACACATGAAAAGATAGTCATGATCTCTAATCTAAAACCAAGACAAGTTATCAGTTTGAATTAAACGTTTTACTCATTCTGTTTTATAGTCCCTTGTATTAAACTACTAGTTATCACATGGCGCAGCCAGCAGAATTTCTGTCCCAAGACAACAGAACGGATATGGGGATTCCGGTATTTTGGACAACCGCGAACTCCGACCCTCCTTGGAACTTTAGGATATAGTTAGATCAATTTTTCTTGGCAGTGACAGTGAAGGAGAGCGTGGACCCGGAAATTTTGTTACAAGAACCAAAAGAAGTTCGGTTGGAACAGTTACCAAGACCAGAAACCCCAAGGGAACATGAAAATCCACAGGCGATTACAGATAGAGAAGCCAGAGACCAACTAGCCCGGGACAAAATTAATCTGGAAAATGAAGAAAGAAGAGCTAGAGGACCAAAGGTTGGTCACAACGTATACTACAATGAGGTACAGAAAAGAGTCGCTTCCAGACTATTCTTGGCGTTGGGCACATCAGGCAGGAAGAAATTCGTTCAGAAGAATCCACATGTGGAAGTGTCAAAGTTAGAATTTCGAGAGATGGTGGCATTGGCGAAAGTATCATTTGATAAATCACAGAGTGTTACGTATGAACGCTACAAGCTGTTTAATCGTTCACAGGAAACAGGGGAGTCACTCGAGGCATTTCATGCCGCATTAACTGCTCAAGCAGCCAGAGCAGAATTAGGGACACTGGAGGACGAACTAGTGCGTGACCTATTCATCTCGAAAATGAAGAACGTGGCATTACAAGACACATTGACATTTGAAACATTTTCGCCAGAAGAAGTACTGAAAAGAGCGTTAAAGTTTGAACAAAGTAAACAGACAACTCAGGCGTTTCAGAAAACTAATGCAACGACTGCAAATACAGTTCAGGTAAATGGAGCAGCGAAGATAAAACAAGAACCCATAATGAGTATCGGCAACAAATATGCGAGCGGAAGGAGACAACAAAACAATGGGTACAGAAAAAAATTTACAGACAGAAAGGAGGGGAGAAATTTTTCAGACTCAAAGACGTGTACGCGATGTGGTCGAATATTCGGAGAAGGACATCTGAAGAAATGCCCGGCCATGGGCAAGACATGTAAAAATTGTTCTAAACCGAATCACTTCGCAAAAATGTGTAAATCACAACAAGTGAATGAGATTGCAGAAAAATCATCAAGCTCAGATGAAGAGTGTAATTTGATTCAGTCATTCGAATCGTGTGAGGAGTTCGAAATTATGTCTGTTGAATCAGAACTGTCTTCGCTGGAAAAAATAGATGAATATATAAAACAGCAATCAAACAAAAACAAAGAAACCGAAAAGTACAGAAAGGATGTACAGAAGGTTGACATTAGACGAAATACTCGATCGAAACAAATAAGGTCACTCAAAGCTCTGGTGAGAATCGATCATCAGATCATAAATATGACCATCGATACGGGTAGTCCAGTATCTTTCTTGAACTGGGCGACTGCAAAGACGATCTTAGAATCTTCGAAAAAAACCAAGTTCATCCCACGGGAAAATCTCAATCTGACTACAAAATTTGTAGACTATAACAAACAGCCGATAAACATACTGGGTGCAATCACCACGAACATCCGTTCGGCGGGGTGGGAAGTGGTGGGAGCATCGTTCCTAATCACAGAAAGACGCACACGGTGTTTTTTGGGGCTGGATTTACAGAGTAAAGTGGGAATACACACAACACAGAAGTTGGCACCAAAAGAAAGGACAGTAAATTTAAGAATCTTTTTGATCGTCAAGGGTGTTCAAAAAACCATGTGGTCAGCACAAAGTTCAAATACCCGCTCTGTCCTTTACAAGAAAAGGGGAGACGCATTCCGATACACATACAGGAGAAGGTGTACGAGGAAATGAAAAAATTGTTAAAAGAAGGGCATATAGAACGACTAGACAAATGCACTAGTGATTGCTTTATAGCACCTATTGTAATAACAGTGAAAAAAGATGATTCCAAAAAATTGGCGCTAGATGCGAAACCCATTAATAGACAGTTGTTTAAAAATAAGTATCAAATGCCAAACGTGGACGAATTTTTAGATGGTGTTAGCCAAATTGTCACAGCAAACACAAGCGGTAAACTGTATTTCTCAGTACTAGATTTGAAGTACGCGTACAGTCAACTTAAGCTGACTGCAGAGACAGCGAAACAATGCAATTTCAACATCATAGGTGGGCAGGCCACAGAAACTTACAGATTTCTGACCGGATTTTATGGTTTGGCAGACATGCCAGCAGAGTTCCAAAACGCTATGGACAGAACATTAAATCATGCGGAAAATACATTCTGTTTTCTTGATGACATACTCATTGTATCAAAAGGGAGTGAACAAGAACATGAAGAATTGATTATGAATGTACTAAAAAATTTAGATAAAGAGAATTTGGCATTAAAACTGTCGAAATGTGAATTTTTTCAACAGGAGGTGAATTGGTTGGGGCATAAGTTATCGATGGACGGAATTTCCCCTAAAATAGCAAAAACCGAAGCAATATTAAAACTTAGCCCGCCAACATCACTGAAACAACTTAGATCATTTCTGGGTAGTATAAACCATCTGGCCAAGTTTATCCCAAATGCGGCTACGTTAACAGAAAATTTGAGACCACTATTACGCGAGGAAAATGAGAAAAAGAAACTCAAAATTGTAAAAATTCAAGTAAAAAAAAATTCGAATGGAAAGAAGAACATTCGGAAATATTCGAGTCAATAAAAGCAGCGGTTGCGAATATAACAAAAATTCATTATTACGACCCCAGTCTAGATACTAGGGTGAAATGTGATGCCAGTCAAAGTGGGCTGGGTGCATCGCTAGAACAACAAAACGTTGAGGGGGAGTGGATACCAATCGCATTCGCTTCCAGATACTTAAACACACAAGAAAAAAAATATTCCACAAATGAGCTCGAACTGCTTGCAGTTGTATGGTCAGTTGATCGGTTCAAAACGGACAAAGCACGACCGGAACGAAAGAAATGAAGATTCGCGTTCGTTTCAACGAGAAAAGCGTGATAATCCAAAAATCAGTTTATCTAAAAATCGTCAGCGGATACAGTCGGTTCAATCATTAGAAAAAACCAGAAATTTTTTAGATCACAAATCAGGCAAAATGCACTCAGGCGAATTGGAAAAAAGCGGAAAAGAAAAAAAGATTGAGACAGGAGCGAAATAACATCAATACATTGAGAGAAGAAGTAACAACAACGTTTCAAAGAACCAGGATGATACAAAGGACCCCAAACAGATCACACCCAGAAGAGTCGGACTTCGAACAAATACCACAGGCGAGGTGGTATTTGCCAGATACACAAGGCAGGGCAAGCCCAGAAAAAAGAGGACAATCAACTTCAACTACTTCAACATCCAGCCCAGAAAAAAGAGGACAATCAACTTCAACTGCTTCAACAGCCAGCCCAGGAAAAAGAGGACAATCAACTTCAACTGTTTCAACAGCTCAATCAAAATTAGTTTCATTCCGGGAACTGGTTGGTTCAGGAAGTTGTACAGAACCTACAGAACTCACATTACCAGCGATGGAGTTAGAGGCCATTTCGGGGATACAAAGCCCGAAACCACCAGGACTAATCACATCTGAAGACGAAGCGGAAGTGGGACAAATCGTAGAAGTCGACTTAACTATGGATAGTGACGACCGGGATTACAGTTCAGGAACAGAGACTTGTGGGATCAAACCACAACAGAAAACAAGACACAATTCAAGAAAATCCGAGTACAAACGGGGGGAACAGCTAATAGACGCAAAAAACCCGCTTTCACTCGACAAACTATTTGACAAAAGTCTACTCGCGGAATTAGTATCAGAAGATACCTGGATGGATCGGCTCAGAAGAGTGGTGGAACGAAACGACAGACATGAATTCGAGCTCATGGGGCCCTACACCAATCCTCTGTGGCACCAGATGTCGGTGGTAGATGATTGCCTCCTGGTGAACAATCGTTTGGCCGTGCCCGAAAAGTTGAGGCAAGCAGTGCTCCGACGACTTCACCAAGGTCATCCTGGACAGGAAGCAATGTTGGAGGTATCAAACTACCTGTGGTGGCCGCATATGCACAAAGACATAGTCAATATGGCCGAAGAATGTAGAAGTTGCACTCGTTATGGTAAGAACGCTAAATATCTAATTCCAAAAAATTCGGCAAAACCACTCCCACTGTTGTCACAGCCAGGTCAAGAGCTACAATTAGATTATGCGGGCCCACTTGAAGACCATAAGGGGAAGAAGATATACTTATTGGTTGCTATTGATAGATACTCAAAATTTCCATCAGTCAAAGTAACAAAATCTACAGGGGGAAAATCAACAATAAAATTTCTCCGTACTTACATAGACACACATGGAATACCGGAATCAATTAAAACGGATCAATTTTCTGGGTTCAAAGGGAAAGCAATGAAAAAATTTTGCACCGAAAATAACATCGCGCAAAAATTCTGTCCAGTCGGGGATCATCGAGGTTGCGGCTTAGTTGAACGAACGATACAAACCATTAAAAGAAGATTGGGGGTAATGCTACTCGAAGAGAAAGTACAATCGATTAAATTATCCTTGAGCACAATAATTAGGGACCTAAGATGGAATAAACAGAAATCAATAAAAGTGTCCCCGTTTGAAGCACACTTTGGTCGATTACCGAAAACGGAATTTAAGATTGTAAGGGATAAATTTCTGATGGATTCTGATCGTTTAGATAAGAACACTTGGAGAGATCTGCGCTTACAGCATCACAGCTGAAAAGGCGAATCAATCAGTCGAGGGAGAATGTGAAAATCATTCGGAAAGGACAGCATAGCAGGGACACAAGCCCTTTGTTTCGACACGACACGGCGACAGCGAAAGATAAGGCCAGAGCAAAGGAATTAAAACAATTTCTAGAGGCAAACGCTCGGTGGAATGCCACCAGACGGGATCTCTCAGACAGCGAACTACGCCGGGTCGTAGATGAAACCAGCACGATAAAACCCGAACTGAGGAAAGAACTCTTATACTCATGGGAACGTGGATTCATCGAGGACAAACAAACTACATTAAAGGAGGATTTGTCTGGAAGTTTCCTCCGGAAACACAAACAAAGGAAAAGCGGAAAGGCCCTGACAATACCCTTGAAATCCAAGATAGTATCAGAGACACCATCGACCATCAAAACGGCTGCTGGTGCAGTATACAGAAAGAGCGACATAGCGAGATCTAAACTGCCAGCACAGCCCAAAGCACATAACTCGGAGAAGAAGAGGAGCCCAACTGGGGAAGAACCGCGAAGTAAACAGCAGAAAACAGTAACACCTCAGGAAGAGGAAGACAGCGATTCTGCTGAAGAACACGACGCGAAAGACCGGGGGACAATAGACGAAAACCTAGAAGATAGTCAACTAAAGGAAAAAATCCAAAACTCGCCGAGCATAGTCACATCAAAAGACACTAAGACCGGCGGAGGTCTTAACTTAGGAGGAAAAAGGGGAAAACCGAACAGGACCGGTGTTTCAGAACACAAAACCGACAAGAGGCAAAATACAAGAATCACGAACGACAAAACCTGCCAAAACAGTTACTAAAAAACGGGATACGAGCAATGAGGCAGTATACATAGAGTCGTCTGCACCGAAAGAAGCTCCAACAAACAAAAGAATCACACAACAGACAAGTGAAAAGAAAATTCTGGACACATTCCAGAATAATAACATGACATCGCAAGAATGGGAGGAAATAACAAACCAGGTGTTGACCCGAGGAGTCCAAAAAGAAGCAGAAAAACTACTGACACAACAAATGGACCCAGTAGATTACTCCACACCAGGATTTGCGGATGAATCGGAAAAAGAGGAAGATACCAGGTCAGTCAGACGGAGTAGCAGACAAACAAAAAACCAGGGACCGAAGAGATATGGCAGTCCCGTATCACACTCGATAAAACTGATCGATTGTGAGGACGATGTCACTGAGTTAAATTTGGCAGCACTTGAGGCCTACAGATTGCGATTAGCGAAGTTAAACCTAAACAACAAAAAAACTTTGGAAAACAACACGTTTGACAGGCTAGAGAGACACCTCTTCAAAAGAAAGTTTGGTGCTACATCGCTGGACGAGGCGGGATCATGGAACGCCGCAAGAAACAAGGAGGTAGTATTGAAGAAGACAACAAAGGAAAACTAAAGAAAAAGAGAACTTTTTCAGTAAACTTTGAATCAACTCGTATTATTTATAAAATTTCATAAAGTACTATATAAAATTTTGTTGTCGCTAGGGGAATGTGGTACCGTGTAGTATAGCTACCACAGTAACCCTGGAGAATAGTGCTATTAATTATTCTGTTATGTATTGTTATTATTATTCAAGGCCATTCATGCAGGCCAAACGCAATAGTCATTTCGGACGTTGCTGATCTAAGAGACACATGAAAAGATAGTCATGATCTCTAATCTAAAACCAAGACAAGTTATCAGTTTGAATTAAACGTTTTACTCATTCTGTTTTATAATCCCTTGCATTAAACTACTAGTTATCACATGAACTAATAAATTCGAACTAACAAATTCGAAAAATTTGGTTCAATCAGAATGATTCAAAGGTTGGACCATTCATTGTAAAATTTTTTAGTTGTAGAGATTTTTGTTGCTCCCGAGATGAAATTTCAAGATCATTGCCAGGCTATTATCAAAAAACTACAAGTATTGATAAAATTGCTAGTAAAACAAAATGTTCTTGTAAAATTAGTGAAAAACCTGTATACCCATTAACCTATATACATCTAGTTATAAAATTGCCCAGTGCTATAGATGTCAATCACGATCTCACATCGCCATATCCATCGCCTCACCTTTGTTAGTCATCTCCTGAATTTCGCGCCAAACTGTGCCCACTACCCACACAAACACGACCATCTCACTCCAACTGATGGGTCTGCCGTGAGTGAATGAGTCACCCGACAGATCCCCCGCACTAGGGGGTGTCAGACGGACCTAGAGAGTGTCAATTTGTCTTTGAAAAATAGTCATCAACTTGGAGTTCATTTCCTCGATTTATATACCACTCCTATGTTTGATTTAGCTCCTCAAAACAAAATTTTTTCAAAAGAAAGTGTGAAAAAATTTACTCTCCTTCTAATAATTTAATTAGAAATCATAAATTATACCTTAATTTCAGACCTTTTTTGAACTTGACACATTTTTTGAGCTTATCTGCAAACTTTGGGAGAAGCAAGAGACGGGTATCAAAAGTAAACTTCTATTGAGCCCACCTGGGAGTAGGACATGGCACAGATGAAAGTCACGTGACAGGTGATGTTGGCCACAAACTTCATGAGCGGGATGTGCAGGAAGCGATCTGTGGAGGGGGTTGGAGGCAGAATCAACAAACCTGAGAGCAAAGAAATAAAATTTTTTCTGATGGCACTGGATATGGCCTTGAAAAGAGCTGGACGAGAGCTTAGTACATGACTAAAAGTGCCATAAATAATAAATTCAACTTCAAAAAATGAATAACAAAACAAAAAGATTTCACAAAATTCAAAAAAAAATTCCAATTGTTTTCTATTTTTTGCAGTATTTAAAAAAAAATATTTTACTGACAAGAAAGCGCCAAAAAGCTTCAAAAATTAGTTTTACCAGAATGAAATTATGTTTTGAAAAAACTAATTGAAAGCTTTTCTATATAGAAAGAACTTGGCATAAGGGTTAAGGTGTTCACTTAGAGATTCTCAGATCGTGTATTCGATCCCCTGCCATAGCAATGATGGTGTGTGAGTATGAGCTCTCATTTGACCTCTAACTTCACGTACACCACAGCCTGACCGACTTTAGCTGCGATAGTAGTACCAGAAGACGTTTCTACACGCAAAAAACAGCCTTTCGTCGCAAAAAAGAGCATCGCTCAACAAAGTAACTCAGTCGCGAATATGAGGAAGTAATACAAACGGATTAGGCTTAGACAGGCCTGATAGCTTTTCATAAATCCTCTGAGAATCGCATAAACGTCAAAATTTAATAATTATTATTATTAGCTCTTTTTAATCTCTTAAAATTAAACATAAAAAGCAAAAACTTTCAACCAATTTTCAACAACTGAGAAAACTTTTCGGAAATTTATTAATTTCGTTCGACTGAATTGGTTTCAAAATAAAAACTTTTTCCTGGAAATTACTGAACCATGACTTTACATGGAATTCTTGTGTCCATTCTTTATTGAATTAAGGCAAAAAAAAATATTTTCACACAAAACATTTCATTAAAATCGAAATAGCTGCTCCAAAAAACTCGGAAGACACCAAGTGTGGTTTTAAATTAAAATCCTTTTATTTGCAATTCGGTGTCCCACAAAACATCAAATTTCGTTTTTGAATTTTCGTTGAACCGGAAATTCATCTGGCACTCATTCGATAGAAAGCGGAATCTCATAATGAAATTAAGAAATTGGACAAATGGTCCATTAATTTGAGCCAATTGTAAAATCTTTGAGGAGCTTTTATCCTAAATAGCAGGTTTTTCTGTAGTTTTACTGCACTTTGGAATCCAGTTTCTGATTATCTTTGAATTCTCAAAAAGGTCAGTCAACTTGACTCTCACAAAATTGGCTTTTTTTGTCCAACACCTACCCCCATATACATTTTTTTACTACCCAAATGTTTGTTCACGCTGTCTGACGGCAGCGCAGAAAATTTTGTCAAAATAAGGTCTATTGTAATTTAGGAGCTCTCGGAAATCAATTCACAAAAGGTTGATAAATCTTTTGAAAATTTTTGAAAATCCGTTTCCACCTTCGTGAAAATCCTAGAGCGATCACTTCTGCCAAAACTACATTCAACAGTTCAAGACAGAATTACAGTTCTCCGGAAAAATTTTATCTAGTAATTTAAAATTTCCTTTAAAATAAGTAACTAATTTAGAGGCTAAAGGTTCTACCATTTTTAACAGTTACCCTCTAAATTCTCCGCAGTTTTGTCTTAGTGGTAGGCTCTTAGTGGTAGGCCCATTGTTCTTAGTGATAGGCCCATTTTCAATTTCTTAAAGGAGGATTACAACAATAGTTAGTTTTGGACCCCGATCAATGTATGTTTTATGTAAATTTCAGCACTAATCTATAAACAGACCAAGTATCCACAGTGGTGTAGCGAGTAGCATCAGCATAGTTGTCTTGAGTCTTTCGGTGTTAGCCTTGTGTCTCCACCCTCCCTTGCCCTCAACGCCTCCTGTCCCCCCTCCTCCTCGCCCTCCACTCATGCCTCGGGTGAACTCATCCGCCAGAGCCAGCTGGCAGTGAGCATGGGCTATGAACAGTTTGTGGCCTCCTAGAAAAGCTAAGTTTTGGACATTCGGGAAACCTAACTTCGGTCTTAAGATCAATTTATCAACTAATTAGTTTTTTACTCGAAATTTGACGAAGGAAGACATTTGGTATGCATAAACGTGCATTTCAGGCCCTGAAACGCACGTTTGTGCATATTAAAGGTCTTCCCTCATAATATTTAGAGAGAAAAAAAAACAATATATCAACTAATTGGTTTTTTCTCTAAACTTTTCTTGTACTTTTCCGTGACTTCTCTGCATCACAAACTTACCATCCTCAGCATCGCGATATATTGTGTGAATAACACATATGCCTACAAAAATTTTCTCATTCCAATTTGCATTGAATTGTCTACAAAAAAACTGAACTTTCAGAATTTTAAAACGTTTTGATATCTTTTTGACAATATTTGATTGTGTTCGATTTTCTTTTGCAAGTAAAAGGAGAGTGAAAACTTTTTTTTTAAAAAAGCAGTACCTCTCAGTGCCTGCTGCAGTCTGCAGAGACGTTCCCCTATCTCCACTTTCTGGCCACAATTGTAAGTATCCTCCACCTCTTCAAGTTCATTCCTTCTCATCTTCCTTGGCCCACTCTTCTCATATGCAGAACTGGTTGAGTCCAATCTGCTAAGATCCAACTTACAGCCAGTTGTCGAAACGGGCAATTTGGTTGTCTCATTCACCAATTGAGGTTCTGGGTTCGGCTTAAGGGTCTCAGTGGACCTAAAGTCATTTATTTTGATACATCCGATAATACTTCCAAAAAAATTGTTTCCAGTAAAGAAATAAATCAACCAAGTTTGTTTCCAGTTACCGTACAAATAGCCAGAAGGTTACGACTTTATTGATCAGTGCTAGTTGATAATCCACATTTCAACTAAAAGGGCTCGATTACCACCGAACGATTTGAACATGTTGACATTTCATTAGTTTTTTGAGGTCGATGAAATTTTCCACTTTCCCACCATTTAAAAAAAATTACATAAAATTATTTAAAAATTGCTCATACGGCAATTTGCATCTAATAAGTAGTGTAAAAGTCTGTTGAAAAGTTCACGCTGACCCATTTTGTTGCAGTTTATATCATCAAAAGTCATTTTGAATAAGTTGTCGTAAATCGAATTTCAAAAAATCAAGTATTTAGTTTTTCTCCCCTTCAAACACTAAATACCCTACTTCTGAAAAAATTTCGCCCTCTGAAAAATTTAAGAAACTTGAGTCATTTATAGAAATTGGAAAAAACCTCACAAAATTTTCAAACAATTGTTCAACTACAAAAGAAAAGTGAACTAATAAAAACCCAGAATTTGACAACTAATAGGGTAAAAAATAAGAAGACTGGATACTTCTGATTCTCTGTTTTGGTGTTCTGGATTGCCGAAGAGGTTGATGACGTCATATTTGTCGTGTGTAGACTGAGCACAGTGATGACGTCATGCTGTGCCTCGACTGAGTTCACGAACTGGGCAGCAAGTCTTTCCAAGTCCATCTCTATGCTCAAGTAGTGATCGGACAACTCATTCTCACAGGTACCTAGCCACCTGAAACCAAAATTATGCATGAAATCAAAATGCCACGTGAAATTAAATTATGAATCAATTATGGAAATACGACAGAGAGGTCATTAAATGATCTAATAAAATATTTTAGGAGATTTTTTAAAGAGATTCAGAAAAAATATTTTAGGAGATTTTTAAGGAGATTCCGAAAAAAACAACCAGCTGATGCAACTGTGGTATTTATTTAATAAATTCATCGTCATAGGGGTAAAATTGCATAGTGCATAGTATGTTCAAGTTTTGTGTACATGCTAAGCCACGGGGTAACGTCGCGTTAAGATGGATTCCAAAACGGAGCTCAGTTGCAATCCTCTAAGTGAAGTACCTGCAGCACTTGGATAGTTCGAAGCAGCGTGCAATGGGGTCAACGTACACCAGGGAAATGTAGGAGGCACTGGACAGAGCACGCAACAGCTGGATCCTCGCTCTGAAACATAGCTTCAGATAAACCTCGAGGGTTAGGAGTTGAGTCTATAAATCATAAACTTTTAAGAAGCTACACATAGAATTCGTCAAAACCGCAAAGAATTTTTAGTATTTTTTCAGAGAAGAAAAAAACGACTTTAAATCAAATAACGAAAAAAAGCTTAAAAGTAATTATAATATTTTGTAAATATTTTCTCGATAACCCTTCACCTGCAGTCTTGTAGACATCCACTGGATATGTTGGATCTGTCTGGTTTCTGGAGTAAATTGGCGCCCGATGAGACCAGAAGCTGGATCATGGAGGTGCTGTCTCTCAGACACGCTATCTGAAGGGGACAATATCCTACAAAAAAAAACCATACAAAAGACCCATTAAACATAAACTTACGAGGATTAAAAATTTTTAAGCCGAAACTCAGTAAAAATTGGTTGGATTCGAGGTGCAAAATCTCATTTTGTCAGTTTGTAAAAATATTTAAATACCTTTTCCAAACACTTCAGTTGTTGATGTCGCATTAACGTCAAATCCTCTACCAATCAGCATCCGAGCAATCTCTTGTCGACTGTATTCAACTGCGGCGTGTAGCACATCTGATTGGTCAATTCTCTCGTCCAATAAGAGTAGATTGCATAGCATTTCATGTCCATTTTTGATTGCATGGTGAAGTGGCGTGAAGCCATGAGAGTCACGGAAGTTCAGGAGAGCGTTCGGTTCAGCCAACATAGTTTGAACAGATTCCAAATCACCTTAGAACATTTTTTTCTAGTTAGTGAACAAAGGAGTTAAGTTTTATGAAATTATTGAATAAAAGCGGTTGTTAGTGGAGGCATGTGCAAATCTTGGACTTTTGTGTACCTATCTTCAAAAAATTTCGCAAAGTTGTCTACTTTCTTAAAGTCGATCAAATGGGTTTTTTCGAGAATTCTGGAAACACTAAACGGACATTTTCTACTTTCCGTTTGGCAAAATAAGACACAAAATACCGTTTTTGAGCACTTCTTAAAATAATTTGGCCAAAATATTTCACGCTGTTTTGTCGACGCGATCATTACATTCGTGTATATGGTAGCCGAATACACCTATATTTACTCACATCATTGAAACTATGACAGCCAAACTCGAGCTACAAGAAGCAATACCAGCTTTACAGGGAACTAAGTGGATGAACATAATTATGAATCTCCAAAAACGTTCTTGTTTCCCTCCCCCCCCCCCCCAAAAAAAAAAAGAAGCTTTGAAGAGTCGGTTTGTGATTTTGCTTACCGTTGCCCAGAGTTCTTATGGAGATTTGCCATTTGCAGAGACTGTTTTAAGTTGCCCAGAAGCACTTCTCTCTCGAAATATATTCTTTTAAAGTTGCAATTTGTCTTAATGCGCTATGGAAGCAACACAATTAACGATGCAACTGACGCTAGTAAATTATCTATCGAGCACAACGTTTAAGAAGGCTCAGATCAGAACGCTTAGGAAAAATGAATTCGATTAAACTTCAATGCTAGACAGTAGCAGTACACCTTTTGGTTAAAAACTTGCGTTCAGACTCATTTTAGACTCATGTATCATCTTAAGACAGCAACCTCCATGCTTCGAAAAAACTTTAGCTTCAATAAATTGATTGGCGCTATGAAGTAATTTGAAATATTTCATAACTGGAATAGCTTGCTAAAAAAATTGATTTTTCACGGACAGATTTGCTCTATGAAATAACTTGAAATGTTTCAAACTTTTTGTTTTTTGATTTAATAGCTTGCACAATTAAACTTTAATTTTTGCAAAGCAGTTTGTTCTTTTATTTAATTTGAAGTTTTTCAGAGTTTCATTGCTCGATTAGCTTACTGAGAAAAGTTTTATTTTTTACCAACTGATTCGATCTATGAAATAACATGATGTTAGTGTTTCAAACTTTCATTGCTTGAAAATTTGAAGTTTTATTTTAATTTGAAGTTTTTCAGAGTTTCATTGCTCGATTAGCTTACTGAGAAAAGTTTTATTTTTTACCAACTGATTCGATCTATGAAATAACATGATGTTAGTGTTTCAAACTTTCATTGCTTGAAAATTTTGTACAGGAAAAATTTAACTTTTGCAGCACATTTCGGTCTAAGAATTAATTAGAACTATTTACAAGTTTCATTGCTTAAATGGTTTCAACTGAAAGTTTTAAGATAGTTGCCTTGCAATTTTTTTTATGAAAGATTATAAAAAATTCCAAAACTTAATAGTTTGAGTTGTTTGCTGAGAAAAACTTAAACTTTTGGCAAAATAAATTAATCTGAAATAACATAAAATAAACCAAAGTTTCATAGTTTAATAGCATCTTATAAAAAAAGTTATTTTTCCGCGGATTGATTTGTTCTAAGAAATAGCTTGAAATACTTCAAAGTTTCATAGTTTAATAGCATGTTATAAAAAAATTATTTTTCCGCGTATTGATTTGTTCAAAGAAATAGCTTGAAATACTTCAAAGTTTCATAGCGTGCTAAGAAAACTTCAACTTTTCGCGAACTGACTAGTTTCATGAAATTTAAAGCTTATCAAAGCTATTACGACTTTGCTCAATTTCAAATTGTTCGAAGTTTTTTTTACTTGATCAGAGCTAACTAATTTATTACGAGACAATTGATAATTGGATGAGGGATCGCCAGTATGTTTTAGGTGATTTTTATGTCTCACAGCTAATTTTTTTCTGTTTTGATTTTTTTTGCATGCAATTTTGACGTTCCAATCACAACCTTGAGACACAAATTTGGCATGGAAAATTTGAAACTTATAAAAGCAATTGACCAAAACAGGCCAATTGGTCTTTTTAATTAGTGTTGTTTGTTCAAACTATTTATTACTAAATATTGAGGTCAAAACCAATAATTATCAAAACCTAATCTGTGCTTTAGACCAATTACTTTTCAGGCAATCTATCTCAATCTGGAATTCCGCCATTTTTTTAGCTATCTCGATCCAGTAGCTCCTGTGAGCGTTTGAGAATGATCTTTCTGTGAAAACCCATACTTTGTTAACGCTGGCGCTATCCAAAAAAAAATCTTTTTATTTTTCATTTTATGGTGGAATTACTTTTCATATTGTAAACCTCATGGTTTTCAAGATACTGCTGTTTTCATAGAAATTGTTAAATCTGTGACTATTGCTGTGGCTTTCGTATCTACGTGATAATAATCTTTGCTCAAAAACTGTCTTTTTGACCAGTTTTTGGAACAATCTAACCAGATAAAAAATTAGCTCCTGTCTTGCGCGCTGTCTTCACGGTTAATTTTCAAGAGCAGCGAAGGCATTTTTTGAAAGATGTTGAGACTAAAAATTACTCTCGTAAACTAGAGTCAAAACAGTGAATCTTTGATATGCGATTTTTAGTAGTTCAGCTCGAGCAATGAGAGGCAAGTGAGCAGGTAACAAACTAGACGAACATATTTTGGAATCCTGACTTAATTTGTTTGGAAATAATTATTTATCAATCCTACAGTTACATTTCGTCAAAACTAGTACAGTACCCGATCAAACTGGAGTCATTTAGTGAAAAAATATGTACAGTACAGGCTGTTCTACGATTTTTTGAGGAACTAATTATACAGAAAAATCAAATTATTTGTGAGCTAGACAAACAAAAAGGTGATTTCCCACTGAACAGCAAGTAAGCGGTTGTCTAGCAAGCGCTCCTTCTCAAAATTAGTGTTCAATAGCAGTAAAGATGTCCTTAAAAACTTCTATGGTATCTTAGCTGAGCACGACTATAATAAAAATTTTGCAAATGTAAAACTTGGAGTTTTGCGATGTCAATGGATTTTGAAAAGTTAACCAAAATCTTTGGCTGTTTAGGGTAAATAGAATAGATTTTTCGAGCCCAAATGAAACTTTGAAGAGACATTTATTAATTTTGTTTGCCATTGCCCAGAATTTCTGTGAAGATTTCACGAGAATGTTTTATATTGCCCAGAAGCACTTTTCAAAATAATTCACCAAGGGTTGCTATTTGTCGACTCGTGGCCTTCTTAAAATTGCTGATTGAGCCGAACTAGCGTGTGCCATTTTGCACGCAAGTTGAGACTATGTCAGTCCAATTTGGACAAAAAGAAGCAAATGAGCTGATAAAAGCTTCACAGAGAATATAAAAGACGAAAAAATTGACGAAAACTCATTTCTCCACAGCGTTTTTGCTTACATTTCAAATACTGGAATATGTTTAAGCAAAATTTATGCCTCACAGCTAATAGTTTTTGTTTGGGCAAGAAGATTGATCAAGTTCAAAGAGCTCGAAAAAGCATCGGACAGACAAAACTAATTAAAACAGCAAACCAGTTTGACGGTATTTTGCATGCAACTTTGATGTTCCAGACAACCTTGAGACACAAACTCGATCTGAAAAATTAATTTTTAAATGCCCAATTTTTCCAAAACAGGTCAATTGCTCTTTTTGATTAATTTTGTCTGTCCGAACTTTTTGTTACTAAATGCAGAGGTCAAAACCACTAACTATCAAAACCTAATCTCTGAATTAGACAGAATAATTTTCAAGGAATCTATCACAATCTGAAATTCCGCCATAATATAGCCTTCTCCCTCCAGTAGCTCCTGTGAGCTTTTGAGAATGCTCTTCCTGTGAAACTCCAGACTTTGTTGACGATGGTGCTAATCAATGTTTTTTATTATCTTGTGGAAACATCATTCAACTTTTAAATCTCATGGTTTCTCTACGTGATAACTTTCCTTGCTCAAAATAGTTGGAACCATTCGAGAAAAACGTAAGCGAATTCACGCTTCACGCAAATCGCAATTTCATGAAAAAGTTCTTTGTCAAAAATTTTTGAAGATTTTACATCAAATTTTGTGATATCCATTTTTTGCTGGCGGATCCTCAATTTTTTTAAAGGCGCCTTTGGCGCCAATATTTACTAATTTTGAGGGGAAAGCGCTGACAAAAAAAAACACCATTTTTTGGTTCTAAATTTTCCAATAAGTGTCAAAAACGCCTTTTCTGCCCTGTTTTTTTTCAAAATTTTGTCTGCGGCGCAGAAATTTTGGCCACAATAGGGTCTGTTCCGTGCTTTGGGAGAGCTTGGAAGTCAATTGTAGTCGACCTAAGTTTTTTGAGAATACGCCGACCAACCCCTAGATCCGCCCATGGTTTCAGCTGCCAGTTTTGTGAAAACTTTATTGTACAGTCTTATAACGGTTTGATTCAAAGTTAAATTTAGAACTTAAATCATTTGTAACAACAGATTCATTGATTGATCTAAAGTAAAATCAACTTCAAAACTACTCCATTATTTTATCCGAATTTAAAATAAGTTTACCTTTCATACATGCACCCAGGAAACGCTTCTGCATATCCCGAGCAATGTCTCTGATTTCCGAGAAGAAGCGAGGTCGGTTCGGAAACCGAGTGGCACGCGCGGCAATAACCGACGGCGTCGATTCTGTTGCAGACTCCGTTGTCAACTTCCGAGAGCGGAACGACTGCGAAGCGTCGCTCGCTTTCTTGGAACCATTTTCAACGATTTCAATTTGTTGGAGATTTGTGAAAATTCCATCTTCTTCGTCTATTTTTTCGCTCGATTCGCTCTGATCGTTTAACCAAATTTCCGGTTTTGATAGTTGTTCAACAACTTTTGACGGGTTCTGGTAACTTCCTCTGTTCAAATTTAAATTTTGGTCCGACATTGCTGTAGATTTCGAACTCAAAAAAAGTTTTTTGATTGTTTGGCGACTTCAAATTCACTATAAAAAGTCGATGAAAGGTTTTAATAAAATTTTACGGTGGTACATAAACCAGCCGAAATGTAAACCAGCCGAAAATACGTAATTGTTAGCCAAATAATAGTTACGTACAGTTACGAAAGTCTTTTTATTCGGCTGGTTTATTCACACTCTATTTTACGATCTCGTCAGTTTGAGGAATTAGGTGTGGCTTAGCAAAGAAAAAAATGACTTAACGGTAAATCAATTGCTACCGAATCGGATTAACGGAACATTTACTATTCTAAATTTCCGAAGGGCAAGTTTCCTAATCGGAATGTAAAGCAATGCCTTCGAGACGAGAGATTATCGTTCATTTAAATCCAAATACATCACTGGCGCTCATAAAATTTGAAAGCTTTGAGAAACCAAATCGATTTTATCTATAGGATTCCGACATTACATCGGCGCAGATCCTTTTTTAGCCAGGAAGCCGAACGGGTTCGAACTATGAAACCGGTTTCGAACCTTTCATTGATTAACTGTATGTAGTTCAGGGAAATTGGAAATAAAGATGCAGTAGTGTACGGCAAACGGTTCGCTTTGAGCGTCGACAGGGCGAAGGAAAAAGGGATCAACCGTTCAATCTCCCCCCCCCCCCCTCTAAGTGACCTACCGTAGAATGCCCTCCCCAAGCATCTATTCATTCTCAAAAAAATTCTGGATAAAATTTGCATTTCTTATAAACACGCAAATAAAATTGGTTTTTACAGTTTTTATGATGTATTGCCTTTGTATACTATTAATAACACAAAATTACGTTTTAATTCAATGTTCTTTAGCGATATGATTATTTTGAACGAATCTAGGTTATACTTGAAGTTAGCTTGTACAAAACCCATATTTCTCCCCCCTAAATCGAATTGTATAGTTAGTCCGGAAAAAGTTTGAAAAGGAAATACTGAATTTCGAAGCACCCTTAGTATGGTCGAGAGGCTTTGAAGTTTTCCGCGCACGGTTTAAAGTTCGATTCCCCACCGACTCCTGCCTTTTTCGATATTATAATTACTTTTTAACCATATTTTTTTTGTTTAATATTTTTTTCAGTTGGGTTTGTATCAAATCAACTTTTTTGCTCAGCTAAACAGAGCAACGCCATGTTAGTCAATGACTTCAGCTCCTGTCGCATCCGAGTTTTCTACATCGATATTTTCAGTTTAAATTATTCATCAAAAATTACTTTAACACCTTTTGAATTTTGTTGAACTTGCATCATTGACAATTATCCATAAAACTAACCAAAACAGAAAAAACTGAATTATTAAGTTATTTTTGTTCGGCGAGTTCTATCAATTAAGTCCATTATTAAAATTGAATTTTAATCACGTTATTTCACACTATTTGTTGTTTTTTGAGAGCGTAGTATTCCTTCCAATAATTAACAGAATTGGAAATTAAAAGTAGAAAAATCAAACGTCAAATCGCAATAAACCAAAAAAAACGTGAACTAAATTCGACATGTTTCCAAAAAGGAAAACAATAATTACTACTAATCAGGGGCGGATTTAGGGGGGGGGGGGGCGGACGCCTCCCCCCCTTAGGGATTCGACCCCCTGCCGACCCAAAGAGTCCCCCCTTTGATACTTTTTCAGAAATCCATTTTTGGCCGACCGACCCTTAAATTTTTTTAAAGGCGCCTTTGGCGCCAATATATACTAACTTTGAGGGGAGCGCGCGCCAAAAAAAAGCTAATTATTAAAAGATTGTTACAAAGATTAAAAACTTAGTTACAAACTTCATTCATTCTTTATTCTTCCTTTTATCTTTTTTTTCTGTCCTGTTTTCTTTCGTCTTTTCTTTCGTTTTTGCTTTCGGTCTTTCTGGCTTTCTTTCTTTTTTCTCTGGAAGCAAAATAAACTTAGACAACTTGTAGCTGTTTCAAAACGTTCAAAAAAACTGAACCTAAGGAATTCAAGCAAGGTTGATCTACTTCTCTGCTAATTGCCCGGCACCAAATTTCTCTTGTATTACAAAATAATAATTAGAAATAATCTTGAACACAGGCGCGCGAAGCCGAGCTTCGCACCACTTGCGATGCAACACAAAATTTTAAGACGTTGAAAAAAACTACATGCACCAAACTTTCTTTTCTTGATAAAAAACAACTAGGGGCACTGTTAAAGCTGGGGGTTTATGTTTGATACTGAATGAATTAGCTATACTGATGAGGCACGAAGTATGTGAATTCAAAAATTGGACTGCCTGAAAACTTTAATTGTTTCTCTACTTAAATAAGTGAGAAGAGTAAGAATTTTTGAAAGAATCAACTTTCCAAATAGATAAAATTTCTCGTACAAAAAACAAAGGATTCGCCGCTTCTGTCTGAAAAGTTATTGCAAACCAGTTCTTTCAATGGACAGATTTGATTATGAATTTTAAGAAGTTTCAAATAAGTTCTGAAAAACGGTCAAAAATTCTAAAAAACGGTCAAACGACTATCTAAAGTCCAAAAAAATTTTCTGCAAAAATCAGGTTATGGCCGTTTAAGCACAGACTATTCCCAAAGCTCAGTTTCCCGAGTGAACACAACCTGAGAATTGGCCCGGTAGCTTTCGCGTTAAGTCAATAAGTCTCCAAAAAGCTTTGACTTGTTTGAAAGCCACAAAATTTTATCTTAAGCAAACTGGGCATAGCCAATTAAAAAGGTACACTTTCAACAACCTGTTCATTCAATTGAACCTATACAATCAGATTTGGCAGAATAGTTAGCGAGAACAATCCAAAAAACGGTCAGCAAATCAAAAATTTGACAAGTCTGAGAATCATAGCTTTTTGCGTGAAAAAAAAAATTGTGCAAAAAAATTATGCAGAAGGTAGTCACGCAACCTATTATTTCGATTGAATACAAATCTCAGATTTGGAAAGGTAGTTTTCGAGAGAGTCAAAAACTCTCCAAAAAAACGGTCACAAAATCAAAAATTTTATTTTTTCGAGCGCCAAAACTTTTAGAGTAAGACAAAATTGGGCGTAGTCGCATAAGCAAATGAGCTTCCTGAAACTGGTGCTGAGAATTGAACCTTAAATTTTAGGTATGGCAGGTTAGTTAACGAGAATATTCAAAAAATTCAAAAAATTTGACTATTTTGCAAAACAGTTCATGTCATTGAAACCAAAAACTTATATGTTTGAGAGAGATAGTTTTGGGTCAAGTTAAAAGGACTCTAGGGCAGTATGCAGGCACACAGGAGAGTAAGCCGTTTTTCAATTGATACCACTTTTTTGAAAATCAGGAGAAGTTTCTGAGCAAAAAAATTTTTTACAAAAAATGAAAAAATTTCCAAAACAAAAAAAAAGAAAATTCAACAAACGAATAGGTATACATACAACCAAGCTGAAAAATGGGGAGGGGAGTCTTAAAATGCTGTTTATCGTGAAACGACCCACATTTAGTTCATTACGCCAATGAAAATCAGCCAAAATAATTTGGGCTGAGGAATTTTTTTAAACGAAACAAAAAAAAGAATATACGAAGTCAAGGAATGTAAAATTACAAACTATAGGCATAAATCAAACATTGAAAACAGCATAAAAAATGCGCGCAGAAAAAAAATCAATTTCGAGATGTGACACCTAAGCCGACAACAGATAAGCAGACAAATAGTTGGCCGAAAATTTCACTTGAAACGGAATGTTTATTGTTTAAAAAAAGGTCCTGGTCAGACTCGATTTCGAATGCTAAGTTGGCCAAGAACCTTAAAAAGATTGAATATATTATGAAACAAGGTAGAGATGAGTCCAAATGTCCAGATAAGTCCTGGACAAAATTATATATGGGAAAAAAGTCTAGTACCGGATTGGAACACCTTTGCTTATTGCAAGGGTAGTAAACAAATTGGTCAGAATTTAACGTACCGAAAGAAGCGAAGCCTAACTGTTTCAAAAACTATTTGCAGTTCGAAACACGAACAGTGAAAAAAAATTTCAAATGTAAGCATTCAAGCCAAACATCTGAAAATTACAGAAGCAAACAGAGCAGAATAAGCTCCCGATTGCCAGTATCATCGCACAACCATAAAAAAAAACATTTATTCTTTCAGTTTTTTGCGCAAAAAATTGTGCGTCCAATAAAAAAATGCGCGTCCAATAAAAAAAAAACATTTATTCTTTCACTTTTTTTGCGCACAAAATTGTGCGTCCAATAAAAAAAAATGCGCGTCCAATAAAAAAAAACATTTATTCTTTCACTTTTTTTGCGCAAAAAATTGTGCAAAAATTTATGCAGAAGGTAATCACGCAACCTGTTATTTCGATTGAATACAAATCTCAGATTTGGAAAGGTAGTTTTCGAGAGAGTCAAAAACTCTCCAAAAAAAACGGTCACAAAATCAAAAATTTTATTTTTTCGAGCGCCGAAACTTTTAGAGTAAGAAAAAATTGGGCGTAGTCGCATAAGCAAATGAGCTTTCTGAAACTGGTTCTGAGAATTGAACCTTGAATTTTAGGTATGGCAGGTTAGTTAACGAGAATATTCAAAAAATTCAAAAAACTTGACTATTTTGCGAAACAGTTCATGTCATTGAAACCAAAAACTTATATTTGAGAGAGATAGTTTTGGGTCAAGTAAAAAGGACTCTGGCGCAGTATGCAGGCACACAGGGGAGTAAGCCGTTTTTCAATTGATACATCTTTTTTGAAAATCAGGAGAAATTTCTGAGCAAAACAAATTTTTTACAAAAAGTGAAAAAATTTCCAAAACAAAAAAAATGAAATTTCAACAAACGAATAGGTATACATACAACCAAGCTGAAAAGTGGGGAGGGGAGTCTTAAAATGCTGTTTATTTTGAAACGACCCACATTTAGTTCATTAAGTCAATGAAAATCAGCCAAAATAATTTGGGCTGAGGAATTTTTTTAAGCGAAACAAAAAAAGGATATACAAAGTCAAGAAATGTAAAATTACAAACTATAAGCATAAATCAAACATTAAAAACAGCATAAAAAATGCGCGCAGAACAAAGAACATTTTCGAGATGTGACATCTAAGCCGACAACAGATAAGCAGACAAATAGTTAGCCGAAAATTTCATTTGAAACAGAATGTTTCTCGTTTAAAAAAAGGTCCTGGTCAGACTCGAATTCGAAAGCTAAGTTGGCCAAGAACCTTAAAAAGATTGAATACATTATGAAACAAGGTAGAGATGAGT